CATAGGCTTGGTATTATAGATAGAAAGAGGATAGAAACAGTGGAAGCTAGAGCTGGTTGGCTAACAATAGCCGTGATTCGAGGATCACGTTTATGATCAAACACGTCTATTGTTAGCCAAATAGCTTTAGTCTCCACAGCGTCTTTTCTCTTTTTATCTGTAATACCATGACTATCACTTCCTATGTCCTAGTCTTTTGTGTGTCAACCCACAAATGTCGTGGTTCTTCTTATTTTGATAATGCTCACTGAAGACGTCTCTTCTTTGCTTCTGATTCTTCTTTTCTCATCCCCTTACGATCTATTTTACTAAAATTAAGGATATTACCTTGAAGTCGTCGTCTTCTTTTTGCTGATCTTCCTGTTGCCTGGTCTTCTAGTTTGTTTAGGCAATATGCAAAGTTTTCGCCGATCCTGCCTTCTTCAAGTCTCCTGCTCATTAGATTTATCTCAGTCAGTATATCATTGGCCTCTCTGATCTTGCGTTTTCTCGTATTTTCACCAATTGCAGCCAACCTTTCCGCAGATTTCCAGTCGATTTCATGCCCCGTCTGTGTAATGTGTTCCGCTATTTCTGATCTTTGTATATCCATGTTCCTGCAAAGTCTTTGATATTCCTTGATTCGTAGGCAGATTTTTATTCCTGTTTCACCAATATACTTCTGCTCACAGTTGCCGCATTTGATGCGATAAACTCCCGACACTCAGGTATAAAGACCAAGATAGTGTGGCCTTTTGTGTAGTCGCAGTCTACTTTCGTTGTATAGAAGTTGTTTGATCTTGTTTTCGCAACTCAGTCAAATTGGTAGAAAGATTCACAGGAACGCACCTTGTCCGGAATCCATTGTATGCATCATCATTTCAAAAGTAGACGCGGTACATTTCCAGACGTTTCGCCGGCATCGTCAGTGAATAGGCCAGGGCAGAAGGGGAGATACCACAACTGTTTAGCCCACGTTTGGTCAAAGAATCAGATTCACTGGTCTCTTTGACGAGTTGTAATATGGTGCTAAGAATGGTGAGACTCACTGACGATGATGACTACGATGCCGGCGTAACGTCTGGGATTGTACCACGTCCACGGTCCTACTCTGGAAATGATGATGCATACAATGGACTCAGGACAAGGTGTGTTCCTTTTAGTCTTCCTACCAATATGACCGAGTTGCGAAAACAAGGTCAAACAACTTCCCGACACCCAAGTTTATCAGTCTTCTCGTGTTGCGTTGGCAGACGGGTGAAAAGTGTTTTCTTCTCCTTTCTTATCACCTTGATATTCCATTTTCTTAATAAAGTTGGCAATTGTTGGCTCAGTTGTGATGAGGGCAAGCAAATCCACTTTGGGTTGTTATCCTCATTCCTGATCTGTTTCTCATAAAATCCAAGTTGAAATCGGACCTTAATCACGTCCTTACGTATCCGTTCTGCCTCCAGAATGTCCTCTTCTCGCTCCAATATCTCCATTAAGGCGCTTATCGCCTTCTCACCTGAGATGTCTGTTTACCTGAATTGTACATTGAAGCTCACCAACAGTTCCGACCCCACCAACCCAATGTTCTGGATCCTTTAGGAAAATTCATATGAATTTTTGACGGTATTCAAAAGTCTGTCATTTACTTTCTTGAGCTTCAAGCAAATGAATTTCGCTAGTTTATGCATTGCTCAATGCTTGTTGTTGACTAATAGTCTTAAAGGATTTCCTTCCTTGTGTATCTTCAGTAGTCTGTAGGCTGTCGGTGGGCTTGCGTCATTTTTGAATAAAGATTTCATCATTCATTTGTCAATTTCCCTATTAGTATGCATTTCCTCGAGCATATTCTTCAGTGTCTCGTTAATCTTCGTGGTTGGATCCTTTCTTAGTATTTGATAAGTGTTGCAATCGCCTAGGATACTTTCCGTTTTCTCCGTTTAATGTTTCCTGCCCATAACAACAGTCGCTCCTCCCTTATTGGCCTGAAGAACTATTTGATCATTCATTTGTAATTTTTTCCGAATACCAGCTAATCTGCTCCATTTTATCGGTTCTTGATGTGTCAGGATCTGTGGGATTATTTCCAGTTCCATTTCCCGCCTTGTATGTTCTGTATATTTATCCGTTTTAGTCTTCCTACCAATATGACCAAGTTGCG